ATAATCATTGGCATTTGCTTTACAATAAATGATATTATGTCTTCGCTTACTAGTACGGTAAAATACCAACATGCAATTTAATACTTTTTTCTACCGGCGATAAAATGTTTGTTATTGAATTAAATGTGTGCAAGTTATCGATTATTTCGGTAAAGAGTTTGGTAATAAATAAATTTGTGTATACAATAAGATTTTAATTATTAAATATAAAACAATAAAGTGAAAGCTTTAAAATTCAATATTTAAAGGTGAAAAACTTAATAATGTTGAAAATTGTTTAATAGATTAATAGACCGTGAACTCCCCAATATATTTCAATTAATTTCAGTAAATCTATGACTTATTCAACAATAAATTTTTCCTATGATATTCTAATATTAAATTAACTAAATTATTTAGTTAATTTTTTTGTTTATCGTCAACTAAAGCAGTAAAAACTTTGCTTAATTTTAAATAAAAACTGCAACAAAACTTAATATCTTTAGGTTACTAAAACCCGAAAAATTTTGCATCAACAGGTTATAAGAAATGCCTAATATCAATAAACCAGTTGAATAAGATACAATTTTCTACAATACATAATGTTTGTTAATATATTTTTGCATTAAGGAAACCAGTTTTAACAATTATCGTAGATGTCCGGTGATTCATTGTATAAAAGAATAACATTACTTATACATTAAATTATTTTTAAAAAAACTATTAATTTATTAACGTAGCTTTATTGAAAATGCACTTATAAAAATATGTTTATTAAAAGTGTTTTATTTAATTCTTATAACAATTTAAAAAATATATAAAATTCAACTTCTGTAGTGGTTATAAAGCTTAAGTATACATATCGAGAATAATGAGTAGTTTTTAGGTTACTTAAAAAGTGAAAGTAAAGCAACAATTTAATAAATATGACATAGCTTTAGAGAATTTCAATGTAAAAATTTTTAACCCGAAATCAGTAGCAACTACTTCACAGTACTTTCCAAATTACGCATATCTTCTTGAAGATTAATGTACAAAATACATACATTAATTCAATAAAAACAATTTATTTTTATTATTGTTTAACTTAACAGAAAAACCTGAAATGTGTAAAGACAATACATCTTCATTATTATCTACAGCTTTGTATGGATAAGCCTTACTTCAAACTGATTTTGCAATACACTTCATAGTCTTAGTTTTCTCGGTCTCCTTCTCGCTGTGAAGCCATTTTATTAACCTTTAAAAATTTATTTGTATTACAATCTGGCTTTCAAATTTTATGGTTGTAGAATTGTTCCAATACAGCGTCATAACGTTTTCTTTAGACTTTAGAGCACGATAGATCTTCATAAGCATTTTCTGATTGAAGTTGGCGAACTTTTTGCTGTCTTAAAACTTGAGTGTAGATACATTGAAACCCTAAATTAGAATGAACATGCCGAGAAACCTTAGAATATATCCGATCACAAAATATTAAGCGACAGAGCCCTGAAGCTATATGCGAAAACCGTCATGTTGCCCCGCTTAGCACTATCTAATCTCAGAGTAATCACCAACCGCACGGAACGGTACGCAGTTCTTAGATCAGTCATTGAATAATCACTATGCTTATGAGGAATACACAAATTAGTCAGTGAGATAAATGGGACTCTGCAGAAACGCCCCAGCTATCAAAGAGTAAAAAGTGCCCAAATGCACTAACTCGGAAAAGACTCAACTAGTGTTAAATATAATTATATGTAGTTAGGTATACCTTTTTAAAGGCTTCGGTTTGAATAGTTTAATTAGTATATAGTAAGATTTATTTGTTTATATGTATTGTGTTAAATTGCAGGAGAAGCATTAATAGTACTAGAAACATTATGCCAGTATACTTGAATTTTTTTAACTTGTGTCTGCAGATAGTAATATATTATTTTTGCTTGATGTTTTAAAAATACTTTAAGCTCTTTAGTGTTGAATACATCAGCACTCATTGTAATAGTGCTAACATTCAAGAGCTCGAATAAACCAAGGATAACAGCCCTACATATGAATAAAGTATCCTCTATGCATTCACGGTTACACAGTAATAAGGGTCTTAACAGGTGTCTATCTGATATATCTGGAGAAAAAAAACACCTTAATGCAGCAGGAACTGTCATAGTCAAATTGAGATTCGGCAGCTATACTAAACAGTTACTTGTCACGCATAAATTCGTCAATTCCCAATGTTTGCCCTAAATATGGCTCTATTCCACATAACACGCTCATTTCTTCTTAGACTCCAATACATAGAGTAATTTAAGCTAATTTGAAAGTGGTCAGGTTTTCTCCATCTCCGTCTTAAAAAAGACGACTTCTCAAGAACTCAAAAATTATAAATAAAATTAAAAAATTTTTAAATAAATAACAAATAACAAATAAAAAAATCACAAAAAACCTGGAACTTGAGCCCGAAAAGTTTGTGCAGTTTTGGCTACTTGTGGGGGAAAACACTATTAGTCATCGCTTCTAATTTGACTGGCACGAGTTCTAGGCCTGGCACTTGAAGTCCAAACAAATCGTAAACGGACTATACATTAATTAAAAAATTCGAATATTTTCTACTACTACAGCGTTGTATGGTCAGCCAAACTTCAATTAATTAACTAAATTTTTTGTTGTTATCTTTTCATTTTTATTTGAAGCCTTGTAATATCAGAAAATTAGTAAATCATGTTGAGGATTTGGTTTTAAAGGAAGTTGGTAGATATAATCATAGTTCCACCTATATTGTAAACAATCAATTGATTTGAATAAAGCGTTTAATATGAATATTAGTTGCATCTTCAGCTCTTAAACTCTCACTCCTTAAATTTAAGCATAGCTATGTTAATACTAATTAATTTATGAAAAAATTAAAATCATTCACAATAAATAATTCTAAAATATCTTTAAGCTTTAATGAACTCAATCCTGTGCTATAAGGCGAAGCTAATAAAATTAAATTTATTAAAAAATTAAAATAATTAACAATAAATAAATTTGAAAGCAATACTGCTAGAGTTCAAGGTTCTTTATATATCAAAACGAGAGCACTTGCTTACATTATTTGCACTCCGCTGATTTTCAATTTCGTTACACGTACGAAAATACATTTGCTAACTTAATCAAAAAATATCTCAATGAATTATTTTCAGAAAGCTAAAAAACTTGTATTGACACAAACACAAACTGTGTTGTGATTTGAGAACGACGGCTAAGCTGCTGCTTTGGATTTAACAAACTTTAGTAGTTCTCCAGAACTCAAGACGCTTAGTTAAGCTGGCTGCTGTAGCAAAAAATTGTATAATGTCTGTTGGTCGTGTGCTTATCTATGGTGGCAAGGGAGCGCTTGGTGCTGCTTGTGTGTCACATTTTAAAGCAAATAATTTTGTAAGTTCAACATTGAAAATAATTAAAATTTGTGTATATATGTATATATATGAATACATAATAAAATTGTTAATTACAGTGGGTTGGAAGCATAGACTTAAACAACAACGAACAAGCTGATGTTAGTATTGTAGTGCCAAAAGACGGCTCATGGACAGAGCAAGAAACAGCAGTTATCGAACAAGTTGGCAGTGCATTAAATGGTGAAAAATTAGATGCAGTAATATGCGTTGCTGGTGGTTGGGCAGGCGGCAATAGCAAAAAAGGTTAAACCATTTAAAAAAAAAATCAATTAATATTTAAATTAAAAAATAATTTTATTTTAGACTTGGCAAAAAATGCAGATCTTATGTGGCGTCAGAGTGTTTGGACATCAACAATATCTGCTGCTGTTGCGGCACAGTACTTAAAAGAAGGCGGTCTATTAGCGCTCACAGGCGCTAAGCCTGCTCTACAAGGTACGCCTGGTATGATTGGTTATGGTATGGCTAAAGCAGCAGTACATCAACTAACACGTTCTTTAGCTGAAAAAGATTCTGGATTACCTGAAGGTTAAAAAAACTTTAAATAACAGATATGAAGTTCTTTACAATAATTTACCTATTTATTTAACTCTTATGAATATAGGTGCTTTGGTGGTATCAATTTTACCTGTTACACTCGATACTCCAATGAACCGCAAATGGATGCCTAAAGCTGATTTTACTACATGGACTCCACTTACTGAAGTTGCCGAGTAAGTTATTTACACCCGTTATTATATATGTATTTGATTTTTAATACCTTTTCTTTTTAGACTCTTTCACAAATGGTCTAAAGGTAATGAACGTCCAAAGAATGGCGCGTTACTCCAATTAATCACAAAAGATTCCATTACCGAACTTATTGATGCCGCTTAATTTACATTTCAATATTATACAAAAGAAGTGATCTGAAACCACATGACTCATAAATATAGGGATTTTTGTTGATTCATATTTAATTCAAATGAATGTATTCTTAATAGTGCTTAATTAATAAAATTGTTATCTCAATATTTATATAAAAGCTTTAGTTCATAAACATCATAAATTTACACGATGTTGATTTAAATAAGTTTAAATAATTAAAAGCTTAAAAATTAAATTTTAAACTACGATAACCTCTGCTTATCTACATTATTAAATAGAAAAAGTGAAAGGAACTTACATATATACATGTATAAATGTGGCTTACTATATATACATTTATATTATTTGTAAAGAAATACGAATGTTTAGGCAGTTTTAAAGCATAAAAATATAAAATATATAATAAAAAAAATATATTAATATTTTCTTAATTACATAGACAGCAAATGTAAATTAACCAGAGTTTATATATTCATAATATAAGTGCTTAAATAATAAACATTGATGAATAATTTTAATAATGTTTAATATGCAAAACTAAATTAATGATGTGTGATATAAATATAATTTATTGCATAAACTTATATTCAAAAAATATTGGTCTCGCCCGTGCGAATCATGGAGTAACATTAGCATGATTTTCTCAGTATTACGTTTCTAGATTAGATTCTGTACATAAGAAAGAATATATAAATCATGCAACAAAGAATGCCTCTACAAACAGAATAGTTTAGAAATTTAGCAAATAAAAAATAAAAATGTAATTTATTAATTCAATTTTTCTACAGCTGGTTTATGATTTCGTTCTAATATAAACACAGTAAGTGAATTTATTGATAAAACTCACAGTGAAGTAACAAAACTTATAGAAGTTTTGCGAACATAAAAGTTAAATACAGCTTTGGTTCAGTTGTTTAAGGTGCGCTGACTCTGAGCTTCAAATTTGACAGGACACGAGTTCGATTCCTGGTACTTGCAGTCTCAAAAATTATGTACGAATAATTAAATACAAAAATTATTTCCAAAACCACTGATAATAAGTATTTGGCAATATTCGAAACAGTTATATAGTCAGCCAAAAATACAATTAATTAAATATAATATGAAATGATTTTTGTTGTTGTAGGTCACTACTGTTCGAAAAACTTCTTTATTAAGATTATTTTAAATTTAGAAATAAACAGTCTAATGCCCGACAAATAAACAAAATTATATATTTAAAAGTGGTTTTAGACGTATCTAAACTCATACGAGGACGTATGAGTACTGATAAATAGTTTGAATGTTTTTAGTTTAGAACTCAATACTTCATTTCAGAGGCCAATTATAGAAAAAAAATGCATAGCAGAGAGGAAATTTCGTAACAAAAAAATTTATAATATTATATAAAAAA